ATGTTGAATCATACAATTAGGGTCATTTTGTGGAAATATTATCAGAGAGTCCTCCCTGTAGCAACAATCTGAAGCTCTTTCTGCCAACCTTTGACTCATGCTGCCGTCAACTGCTGGAGAATTTGGTTTGTTTTTTTGTCTTTGCTGCCATGGCACCTCTGACACCTGCACACCAAGCAGTTCAGGGTGCTGGTGCCAGGTCCACCAGTTAAACCATGTCCCCAGGTGCCACATCTACACATTTTTTGAACACTTCCAGGTATGATTATTCCACCACTTCCCTGGGCAGCCTGTTCCAATGCCTGACCACCCTTTCAGTGAAGAAGCTTTTCCTAATACTCAATCTAAATCTCATCTGGTGTAACTTGAGCCCATTTCCTGCCCGCTGGTCTGTCTGAATATGGAAGTTCTTATGTCTTTGTCTTGTGGCTTCAATCTTTAAGTCTCTTGTGACCAAATTGCTACAACCTTTTTTATTCTTGCTTCCATCTTCGGACCCATGCACCAGGGAAGAGTCAGTAGAAGAGTCCAGCCAAAGATCTGACCAACTTTTTTTTGTCTGGAAAGGATTAGGGTAGGAAGGAAATACAGGAAAAGCCTTTTAATGGAAGCCCATAAACTCAGTCTGTCATATCTTCTCACATGCCAGCCTTCAGGATATCTGGGATGGTGATTTGTGCTGCTGTTCTTGGAAGCTGGGAGGCACTTGCACCATTCAACACATATCAAGAGTCGTAAAACAAGTGGAAATGGCATAAATGATGTTACCTGACATGAAGATGAATATGAAACCTTCTATCATCAGGTCTTTTAGGCCAGGGGGCTCTAAATGGCTCTGTAACTCACAATTTCTTCCTAGCAGTGCTGTAATTTTGTCTGAAGCAGCAGTTCAGCCCCCAGTCCCATCATCTCCCATTTCTCCCCTCTCTCATGTGGCTCTCTGCCTTCTTGGGAGGCAGCTCTCTGCTCTCCGCACTCTCATTTTCCTGATGTTGCCACTACCACAATCCCCAAATTGTAATATCTCCCTACTGAGGCAACAATAACCCCAAACTCCTTAGCTTCTCCATTTTGAGGGAATTCATTCGTGCCAATCGCTGTGCCTCTAGGAAAGCTCAATTTGCTAACTTACAACACAGTTTAATGTGTTTTAAATTCCACCTCCTGCCGGTTAGGATGTGATGGGAATGCCTTTCCAGTGCTGCCTGTGAGGGCAGTTATTGCTGTTCCTGGAGCACAGGCTTGCTTACTTTTCCACTCCATGGAGTGAAGCCAATAATTAATCAAGGAGAAGGGGACCGTGGGGCTCATTGTCACAGAAGACTGTTATGACTGTTTAAATGTTCAAAATGGGACAGGTCATTTTCGTGAGTAACAGGAGTATTTAAATTTAAATTAAGGCTTATAAATTTAAGCTACTTTCCATCTACCAAGAGCCAGGTAAAGACCTGTGGAGGACAAATTACCCCTATGAGTCTTATGAGTTTTTTTTCCTCAGGCTTTGAGATAAGTATGACAATGTTGGCTTTGTCCTTTCACCAAACATTAGCTGGGCTGTAGGTCACCTGTTGCTGACTAGTTTTGTTGCTGAGTTTGGGACATGTCCTTCATTCACTGGTCACCTCAGACTCCAGCCTGGCTGCACAGATAAACTCTAGGCACAGGTTAAGCTCCTGAGCCCTGCAGAGCAGTCACGTGTGAACAGTGCCTGAATGAGGGAACCCTCACCTCAGTCAGGATCCCTCCGGATGCTAAATTACAATAATACCACCCACCAGGAGTGCCTGAAAATGAGAGCAGCTTTCTCAGGTGGCTGCCAAGAGATTGTTCCCTTGTTACACCGAGTTAACTGCAGCCCTGCACTGCTGTGCCCTGCAGCCTCCGCACACTCCATTATCCTGCTGTTCCTCCCTCCCCTGTAGGAACCTGACACAGTCATTTCTCAAGCTTTCCCTGCCCTTGGCTATGAATTGCATTACTGCCACTGTGATTTCTGTGCTGGTAGTAGTTAGGAGACAGAAACAAGCAGAAACCATGGGCTCTGGGCTCTTTATAAACAAAAGCAAGCTCTGAGTCTCCAGTTGGGACTCTTACTGAAAGAAAAAAGAAAGGGAAAAACAAAAGAAGTGAAAAGGTTAAAACCATTCTGTGCCTATGGTCACATCACTATCTGAGCTGTTTAAGAAAGTCTGTGGCACTTTTGGACAAGTCTCTCAGCCTCTTCTCCATGGCTCTGTTAGTCCCAAAGACTAAAGATTTTTAGCAGGTGAAAGCACCTCTTTACCATCTGAGCCACACACAGAGTGTCTTCAGAAGGGAATGAGGTGACGGCGTGAGGTTGCTGGTATCCAAAATATGGTTTTTGCTGAAGGTAGTGGGACATGGGAGCCAACTGCCCCTATTTCATGCCCAAAGCCAAGGCTTCAGGCTTCATTTTGGTCCATTCCAGCTGCTGGCCACATTTATTCCTTACCTAATTTTACCCCAGGGACACACTTTCCCTCAACACATGTGGCTTTTTGAAAACAAGCACTTTTGATCACAATTATCTGTAAAGATTGGAGGTTCCCAATACAGGCCAGACCCTCTTGCTCTGTGTCCTCCACAGACATCACTAAAAGGTTGAAGGATGCAGACTGCGGGGCAAAGAAGAAAAACCAGTGGGAACCAACAAGTAGTAAAGAGGGCAAAGATAATGTAGCCAATAGATAGAAACATAGGATCATTAAGGTCAGAAAAGACCTTTGAGACCATCAAGTCCACTGAGTTTTTCTTAAGATACAGAAGAAAATGTGGTTTTGATGACTAGGACACTTCTGCAGGGAAAAACTTTGTTTATGAACTGAACCAAAAAGTCTACAGCTATTTATCTGATCCTGTTTGCCTCTGTGTCCAGTCCAATGTCCTGCTGTAAATCCTGTGGGAATAAGTTTTCCTCTAGCCAGATTTAGTGATGCTCCAGCATATGGGATGATTAAACTACATCCAAATTGACACCTGCAGCAAGGGATTTTTTTCCCACTCCTTTATCTTATCTTTGTCAAGAAATACGTTCAGTTGGCAAGTGTGCTGGATCTGTTTTGTTGTTAGAGCTCTCAAAAGCAATTAATTTCATGTCAGTAACTCCACAGTTTGACCTGAATCTCCTTAGTTTTAGTCCCCTGCCTCCCTCTCCCCCTACAAGCAATGTTTCAAATTCATCCCATTATCTGCTAATCCTTAACCTAAATAAAATGTGTAAGTGAAGAGCAGCTGCAGGACATTTATGTGCAGAACGATCAAGAGAGTGAGGAACTTATTAACATGTTTCAAAGCCTGCCCAGAGCCACATGGATTCCTGGGGTTCAACATGAGCAGTAGTTCTTTGCCTCATTTCTTTGAAAGCCGAACTGTGAGCCTTCATTTTGTTGGAAGTGAAATTTTCAAAGTGAAACACGTGTCTGACGTGCTCCCTGGAAGCACAGGTTACACCAAGAGCATCGTTTTGGGGGTTTGTAGCTTAAATAAAAGAGAATGAATCTGAGCAGCTGGAGATTTGTTTTCCAAATTGACTCTAGTCATGAGTCACCGAGGCTCTGAAAACCAAATACCAATTTCATACTTGCTGAGTTGTTACACTCAGAGACTATTTTAACATTGACTTAGTAGGGTTATACCTCTGAGCATCTCTCTGTAAGTATCTCAGATGTGTCTTCTACTTATTTTTTTGCTGGATTGCCTGAAATCTCTGAGGCTGAAGGATATAATAGAACTGCTTCTAGCCCAGAGACTGACTAATTTAGTCCTGGGAAAAGTGCAAAAAGTGTTTTATGATAGGAAAATAGTGTTTGTTATTAAGAAAACCGGCTTGTTTGTCATGCAAAAGACCTGAGGCAACAGCAGAGTTGGTTAGTGGGTTGTGCCTCTCTTTTTGCTGTCACTGGGGTGAGCTGCAGTCAGTTCCAGCTGAGCAGGTTTGAGAACACCACTTTCTGTGTCCCATGTTATCTGACAGCTTCCTTGGCAAGCAGGGAGACTGATACAGCAAATGCTGAATCCCAGGAAATGCACTGGCTCTTTGAACCCTTGGGGAAGTGATTTTCATAATTGGAGTGTTTTTCCTTTAGCTGAGAAAAGATCATTTAACTGAAGACTCTGCAACTGCAACGCTGCAACTTGGCACTTGCCTTCCTTTACCATTTCACAAAGAGTGAGAAGGGAAATGCTCTGGTCTTGAATGACTAAATCTGTAATGAGTAACTCTGTCTCACTTCAGTGATACTTTGGTTTCTGGCATCCTCATCATGCACTGGCTGCCTCTTGGAGCCATTTCCATCTGCAAACACTAAGATGTCCCCTCTTTTGTTTTATGGCACTGTGTCCCAGCTTACTGTAGCTCCCTGTAGAGAGGGACTAAAACTAGATAAAAATATTTTTTAATGAAGGAGGATGTGCAGCTCTACCTTGTTTTAGAAAGCTTATAGAGCCAGCTAAGCCCAGGACTGAAACCAGGCAGTCTGTGCTCTCCTATTGCATTAGCTTTGAACCTCACACAGGGGAGCCTGTTCAAGAACAAACCAAATGTAAACTATTCCAGCTTTGCCACTCCAGTGCAAATATTTGCCACCAAATGTCCTTTTGTGAGCAATTCAGCAGCCTCCAGTGCAGCCTGGTGGTTCAGGGGCTGTTCCATCAACTCGAGTTGTTCTAGGGAGGGAGGGGAGCAAAACCAATAACCAAGGATTAAGTGAGCATTTGAATATTTGATTTTTTTTCCCATTGATCTTTGTTTCATCTGCTTGAATTGATTCTTGTCAAAGGGAGCTCCTGGTGTTATCAAGACAAATTGTGTACATGGCTTTGCAAGAACAGTTGAATCTCCTGTTTCATGCTGTGAGAGAGGGACTGGGGGGGGATAAAGTGGGAAGAATTTTGCAAGTGACCAGAATTAACTTATTTTATATAGTTATTAATGTGGATATCCACTGTGTGTGTTGATTTAAATGCATTTCCCTCTTTAGGAGTATCCGATGCCTGAGGAATATTATCCACTGGAATCTGATCACTACATTCATCCTGAGGAACGTGATGTGGTTTCTGCTCCAAATGATAGATCACAACATCCATGAAAGCAATGAAGTAAGTGCTTGGAGGCAGCATCTCTCTGCCATGGACTTTGGGAGCAGGCAGGGGTGCTGACTTTGTTCAGCTGATAGAAATATTACCAAGGACACTTATCCAAAGGCTCAGAGGGGCTTTCATGCAATTTGAAAAAGAGGACGAAAATTAAAATGAGCTTAGATTTGCTGAATTTCCATTGATTTCCTTATTACTGAATATCAAAGGGGATTTTTAAAGTAAAAATCCTGCCAAAAACTTCTCTCATCTCTTCACTGACCAGAGATGCTTTCCAAATGTATATATTGTGAGACATAATACTGTGCAAGGCACTAAATGTGGTGGTTCTTGAACATTTCTGTCAGAGCATCTTACAGTGATCTGCACCTGTGTAGGGAAAACATTCATGCCAGAGGGCAAAAACTCCATGAACAGGGACAGAAATAATTGATTTGGCTGTTGAGGCTCTGAGTCAGGTACTTTTTCTGATGACCTTGGGACTCCCAAAAAATGAGAAATAGGGTCTGAAACAGTACAATTTTTGTTGTTGATATATTTGTGGGGGTTTTTTTACAAAATTCCATTTTTCTGCTAATCTCTTCTTCACCACACTGGCCTCGAGGAGGAAGTTCTGGGATGTGGGCTGCATCCTGCAGCAGCTGCTTGTCACTGGAAGGGGTGGCTCATTCCTCCAAGGACCCAAACACTTCAGCTCCTGCTGCTTCCTTTGCACTCCCTCTGTTCCTTTTCTTGACCCCTTGGGGAGGACTGAACTCTTGGGAACTGAACTCATTAAACTGGCAGAGAACTAACCCAGGCATCAGAAAAGCAAGGAGGAGTTTCCTGCTGGCACAGCTAAGTCGGCTTTCTGATGGGTGGTTGGGAGTCTGAAACAGTTCAAGGGGCCAGATAGATCCACACAATAAAAAATTGGGAAGGCTGGAGGCAGAAAGAAGTGGGGCACCTTCTCTGCATGGCACTGAGCACTCGAGAAATGCAGCATCGTGGTCACCATGCTCTCATTTCTCTCACTCTCCATGTTATTTCTTGTTCACTCAAGTCACTCCCAACTGCAGATGCTTCTCTGAGTGAATCAGTCCCTGTGTAAGTACAACAATCACAGAATGATGGAATGGTTTGGGTTGGAAGGAGCCTTTAAACATCAATTAGTTCCTACCCCCTGCCATGAGCAGGGGCACCTTCCACTATCCCGGGTTGCTCCAAGCCCCGTCCAACCTGGCCTTGGACACTTCCAAGGATGGGGCAGCCACAGCTTCTCTGGGCAACCTGTGCCAGGGCCTCTCCACTCTCACAGGAAATAATTTCTTTCTAAGATCTAATCATTCCTCCTTTTAGTTTGAAGCCATGACCCCTTGTCCTATCAAAGACATCAAGGTGACTCCTCTCCCTCTTTAGTCACTCAGCAGCCCCAGCAGTACAAGGATTTCAGAGTGGAATGAAAACATCCATTCAAAAAAAAAAAAAAAGCATTTTTCTTTACTTTCTTGGAGAACAGCTCTACATTTCCTTGAAAATTAGTCCTTTTTGATGGTCCCTTGGTAGAGTAGTTTACTGTTTTCTTTCCCTGGTAATAATCTTATAGTCAGGTATTCTCCTTTTGGGGATGTCCCCTGATATTTAGCTCCATAACTAAAAGAAAGTGTACTACAAACACATATTCACATACACACACACGCACCGTTCATAGTCTCTGTCTTTGGAAAGCAGATGGACTAAAATGCCTATAGACTGTGAGCTGGATCCACAGCTGCTATCAACCATGGCTCCACTGGCCCTGTAGAAATGGAAAACCACCCCAGGAGCCTGGATATCCATTCATTTGAATGTCAGCTGGGCACACTCAGCATCCTTAATTAACTTTTCAAATGCAAGATTTGACGTCTCAACTTCAATCCCATTCTTTGGGAAAACAAATAGAAAAGTCATTAGTACCTAGATAAGGAGGAAGTCTATGCATAAATCTCTATTATTATTCATTCAGATGCTCCTTTGAGAAAAATGTAGCTTCTGTTAATTCAGTGTTTGCTTTGTCTGTGTTTCTGGTATTCTCATACTCCAGAAGATGGTGGTGTGGGAGCTTTAGGGACTTACTCTGTGACTTACTTACTGAGTGAGTTACTCTCATGACAATGCTGCAAATCTTAATACAGATTTTTACAGTTATTTAGGAAAAATCTGTTGGAGTCAGGCATTCAAGTGCCTTTAAAAATGCAACCACAAATTGCCAAGGAAAATAAAACCCTGCAAGTATTAAGGACATGCCCCAGTTTTCATTAACTTGTCTTTTCTCTGCAGTCTTTTTGATGCTTTGTGCAAGTCTGAGTGATAACTTTATATTTTTGTGGCGTAACAAAATAACGCCACGAAAACTGATGGGAACAACATCTTTTATGCTGGCTAATAATGTGATCTGTTCTGTGCTGATCAGTGGAGATTAAATAACACAGAGACAGAAGCATCAAGGATTCAACATCGAAATATTTTGCATGAAATTATAGTGCTTATAAATAAATCAAGAAGGGGAATTGTTGAATATATCTGCAGCAGGGTGGTTGATACATGTGGGGATCAAGAATCCTCAGTCAAATAAACAAAATTAGGGAGTTCAGCAAATTGGGTTTATTATTCAGTAGTAATAAATCCACAGTTCCAAAAGGGAATTGCTCAAAATTTATTTTATTTTGGTCTCCTACGGAAACGATGCAGAAGGAGATTTCCCCACCACTGTGTCTGTTGTCTGTATCTGTCCCAGTATCTTCCCAATCCAGTTCCACTCAGTTCCGACACAAGAACAACAGGCTCAGATATAATTATTTTTTCCAATTCTTCAGAAAATGTGCAGCTCTGGAAAGGACAAAAACTGTGTAAATTTTGTAAGCGAGGGAGAGAAGCGAACAAGGGTGGAGTCACTCTATCAGAGCATTTCCATGGGATTGAGGCCACAGAGAAAGATTTAATTCATGCTCATACCTTCAAGAAATCAAATGTGAGAGTTAAGTCTTACTGCTTTGGGGGTCAACCAGTAATGGAAGCAAAATATTTTATTTTTTTTTTAGCGAAAGAAAAATGTTAATTTGTTTGTTTGTTTGTTTATGGCTTAATTTTCCTTTACTCAAGCCAAAATGGGAAGAAAAAAAAAATTTGGTTTAAACAAAATGTTGAAAACAGAATGGTTTATCTTTTTCTGAATTGTTTTGGTTTTTAATCCTATTTTAAGGATGGAGCCAAGCCAAATTTGAAATATTAATGAAATAATACAGAAATGAAAGCTTTAACGCATCCAAAAGATTTTTTTATTTCCATTCAATAAACAAATTCGCAACTTGTGAGTGAGCTGTTGCTTTGTAACTGTGTTTCTTGCCCAATAAATTCTTAGTCTCCAGAATTATGCTGGGCTTGATGGTGCACCTGCTGCTCTGTCGACTGCCTAGAGACCATTCACACCTCGTGTATATGAGGGCTGAAATAAAATCAACTGAGGATCAAAAGTTGCAAATACTCCAGTAGAGTTAATTAGAAGTCTCCATAATGGTGAGACCAAAATGCCACCAGTGGTGGCAGTGAACACAGGTAATTAGTGTCCTGCTCAGTGTGTGCCTGGTCACAGAGACATTTTCCCAGACCTCTGTGTGAGCACTGTGGAAATTGCCATCGGTTCCTTGTGATTTATTGATGGGATATTACCTCCTGGAGCCTCTCTGGAGCTCATTGTGATTCCACAGCTGTGCTCTCACTGCACAGCCACTTGGAGGAAATGCCTGTATTTATGCAATGAGCCTGACCAAAAATTCCTCTTGGGTTTATGGCAAAATTCAGAGGTGAAGTGTGACGTGATGTGACTTACAGAATGAAACAAAATGGCAGGAACAGAGGATATAAAGTAACTGACAAAAACACGCCTTTGAAGCACGTTTGTTTGGGGGTTTTTTGCCTAAATGTTAGTGGTGCTCCTTCCTCCAGTGGAAATGAAGCAAGACTCTGACATTAATGTCTACCTTGTATTTGAATTGCTCAGCAGGTGAGTTATCCTGCCTCAGATATGCAGATATTTAGATACTTAGACTCATGTCATCTTTAGATACGACCCTGAGGATATGGCTGTGCCTCTGGAAGATCATCTGTGTTCAAATGAGCTGCTCCTCTTGTGTCTTCGCACTGCTTGGAGGCCGCTGGTGTGGCTTTGCCTTTGACATGTTAACTTTCCACACATGTTTAGATACAGGAATTCCTGCATATCATGGTCAAAGCAGCCTCAGCAGACAGTCACAGATGTAGTTGTGAGTTCCCAGCAGCACCCAAGATATTGTGATTCCAAGTCACAGGGAAAATCTGTGTCCCATGAATGAATTCTCCCATTGATTTTTACAGGGATTACGACATACAGCATTTTTTAAATGTTCTTGCCATAATTTTAAAATACTCTCTTCTGTTTCCTCTCCAGCCCTGGTGTCGATGTATTACTACTGTCTACAATTACTTTGTGGTGACCAACTTCTTCTGGATGTTTGTGGAAGGCTGCTACTTGCACACTGCTATAGTGATGACTTACTCCACGGATAAGCTGAGGAAATGGGTCTTTCTCTTCATAGGATGGTGTAAGTGACTTCCATGGTTAAAATGGTGTTATCTGATGGTACCTGACATTAAAGTGTTAAAGACAAGAGCAGCAAGAATAAACTTTAAAAATCCTACTGGGGCAAAATCTGACATTCGGACCTAACTGTGTCAAAACAATGTGAGATCAGGTTTAGTTCTTCACTGTGGTGATGACATAAAGCTAATAGGTTATCACCAGATTTGGCTTCATCCTCAGGGACCTGGTGTTCAGGAAAGAAAGAGAACTCCCAGGCTCAGCCTTTTGGGAAGGCAGTAGTCCATACCACATCCCTTTCAGACCACATCCCTGTCACTTCAATCAGCAAAGCAGTGACCACAGCCCCTCACACACTGCTGTTCAACACAGCGTGAAGCAAAAGAGGCACTGTCCATGCCCAGTGGAACACTCAGTCTCAAGAGACACTTCTAAGTGGGGAGCTGACTAGAAGAGAAGCCTAATTATCTGCCAGTCCAGCTTCACAGCTGTCTTTTGGACTGCTGAGGGATTTGTTCCTGGAAAACAGCTTTTAACAAAGAGTCCCCATGTCATCTCTGTACTATCCCTGTGGCAACTCAGACTCAGCTTTGGTAAGGCTGCCTTTGGGATACTGTGGTCAGTAATGGTCTCTTAGGTCAAAAAGTGATGTGGAAAAGCTGGAGATTATCCAGTAAAAGACTATCAAGATGTTTAGGGGTCTAGAAGACAAGACGTGAAGTGAGGCTGAAGGAGCTGAGCCTGTTCAATCTGGCAAAGAGGCAGCTAAGGAAGGATCTGTGAGGTACCAAGAGTGATTTAAAAGATAATTACAAAAATGAGGGAGCCAAATTTTTCTTGGTATTGCAGATTTTATAAGAAGGGACAATGTCCACAAATAGCAGACTGAGAGGTTCCAGCTGGACGTTAAGAAAACAGAAAATGTACCAAAAAGTGGTGCAACTTGAACAGATAACTTAAAAGCTGTGAAATCTCTGACCCTGGGGGTATTGAAAATTCATCCAGGCCGAGACCAAGCTGGAGTGGGTTAGCACTGATAGTTCTGCCTAGAGCAGATAATTGGAGTGGGTACATTCAGAGGTCCTTTCCAACCAACATCTCCATGTTTTGAACTTTGACAGGAGATGTTTGGCAAGACAAGCCCTGTGCAGGCAGCTCGTTCACTTGAGGGCAGAATCTGAGGTCAGACAGAGCTAGTGAATTTGGCAGTTCTTTTCTGCTGAAAGAAGAAAGGTGGAAAAAAGTCACCAACATTTTCTGTTCTGAAAGTAGGAAGACGTTTTGTTCGGAAAATGCCTCTCGCTCTCAGAATTGTGCAGAAGCAAGTGAATTGCAGTTCTGAGGGCAGAAACAGCCTTTGAGACAAAATATGTCATTCAATCCAAAATAAAATGGGAGGAAAAGGAGTTGTAGGAGAAAAAAAAAAATGTTTATGTGGGGAATTGATTCAATATTTTTTTGTGCAGTATTTTTCAATTCTGTCACCCAACTGGAAAATCAGCTGCTTACACAGCCCTCACAGATCCACAGACTGGTTTGATCCATGGTGTTTTCCCTCCCTACCTCTCTCAGAGTCCTACTAATTCAGGAATGGTGTGGGCTGAATATACCCTTTCTCTCACCCTTCTGGGCCCTTTCTGGCTCTGCTCTACCTTCCCATAAACATTTTTTTACCTGTCTCATTCTCAAATCCCTGTTCTTCGTTTCACAAGGGAAAGGAAAATATTTTCCTCTAGAAGAAAGGATGTGGCTGCATTTTGTCTGCCCATGCCTAGCAAGAAAAATGGGGGGGAAAGTGCACCAGACCCTGTGAGTCAGTGGTGAAAAAGGTGGAGGACAACACAGTCATTTGAAGGGCACGAGAGCCACCAGGGATGGTGGGACAGGAGAGCAGAACTGCGCTTCTTGCTGAGTTTAAATATGGCCACTTAGCAATTCAGTCCCACACCTTCTGTGTTATGGTTCTCTTTCCACTCTGCTTCATCTCTTTAAAGCCTCCATTTCCCACAGAAGAGGCAGCAAAAGGGAGGTTCGAAGGCAGTGTCAGAGACAAGGCCGCGTCTGCTCCTGCAGGAGGGTTTAAGTCATGCTGGTTCCACCAGGAGAGAAGCAGATACTAGTGAGGGTCACTGAATCTCGGCCTTTGTCCATGCATCCACCTTAGAGTAGCAGTGATTTCAGAGGGACATGAACCTGGGGTTTGGAACGAGGGATGGAGCTGGAGTTTGTCTTGTTTGGTTTTTCCCGAGGCCACAGGTGAAAGAGGAAATGGAGAGGGAAAACTCTCCTCCTCCACTTTTGACATCAATCCAGTCCTCGTCTGGGTGAAAAAGTTCCTGTTTTCCCCAGGAGGTCTGTGTCAAAAGGCCAGTTCCATTTTTAATCCCTCACTTCCAGTTTCCTCCTCCAGCAAATGCCCTCCAAGCCAGTTGGACTGTGAAGGCCTAACACAAAACAAACACAAGGGCAAAGCTCTGGACATGAGACTGGTATAAAATCAGAATTGGAAAGCAGAGGAAATGGCGTTGCTGGGGCATTGAGTGTACAAATACACCTCATCTACTACGCTGAGGAGCCTGACAGTAACACCTGCTGGGTACAACAGAAAGCAAACCCAAAAAGCAGATCCATGGCTTTGACAAGAACTCACACACACACACACACACACACACACAGAGCACATTGCACATTGTAGGGAGTTGGATGATGTCTATAAACTTAAGAGCAGCTGGATCCTTTAGAAGGGGGAAAAAATTAATTCTGATATTGCAAGATATCAATATAATCTTTCTCATAATCCTATTTCATAGGGAAGACTGAACTCAAAAAGTCACTGAAAGTTTAAAAAATGTGCTTCATCCAAAGATCTCAGTAAGTTTCCAAGTTTCTTGGAGCCTGGGAAGTAAAAACCTAAACACCCACCCCCAAGAACTGTCCTTAAGATTTTGCTGGAAAATTAAAAGTGACCAAAATTACCTTTAAGTCAGACAAAATTGTTCTGGTCACTTCTATAGAAATGTAGGTATATATCTGTGTTTGTTAACATTTTTATTAACTTTTCTTACTGGTACTAAATTTTTGTTGAGATTATATTTTTTTTTTTTTAAATTTATACATTAAGAGGTCTTAGCAATTGTGATGTCTCAAGGATACCAAGATAGGACCACCTGTACTTAGAGTCTTCCAGTTCATTAACTAAGTCTCTCCTCACACAAATCTGAATTTACTTTGGGATCATAGACGCATCCATCCATCCATACATCCATGATTAACTCCTGGTTTTTTTGCTCCTGCAGGTATTCCTTGTCCAATCATCATTGCCTGGGCCATTGGCAAGCTATATTATGAAAATGAACAGTGAGTGATGTTAATATTTGTGTTGTTATATTTGTGTTAATATGTGTGCAAGTTTCCTGCCTGTCATACCTGATTTCTTACACATGGGGATGGAGAACTGTTGTGCTCTAGGAAAAGTGTCCTTAAAGAGCTGTCAGCTCTGATCAGCTCCTTTTTCCAAAGACAGTTTCCCAGGGGATCTCATTCACAAGTTCTTTAAACAGCTGGAAGTTACCCTTCCAAAGTTCAGGGTTCTGACTTTGCTCTTTGCCACAGTGTTTGTCCATTTGTCCTGACTACTGGGGAAATGATGTACCATTGCCCCCTGAGGTCAGACCCAGCAAACTGGGCACATGCAGAAAACATGGACTCTCCTGCAGATTCCAAGACTCTCGGGGACAGCCCAAAATTTGGGACAAAATGGAGAAAATCCTTCATCTGAGTATCCACTTCAGCTGTAACTTAGGGTGTTTAGAGGTCGAACCGGGGTTCAAGTTGTGTAGCTCATCATTTGAGTTGAAAAGCTCAAAATAGCACTCAGGAAGAATGTTAAGAAAATGCTTCAATCAACTTCCTAATTTTTTTCATTTTTGTACTTAATAGAGATCGTTTTCTGCATAGTGAGGCAACTTTAATTGGTACTGTGGCAAATATCCTGTCTGGGGTTTCGAAAAGTATGGCAACTCTGAAAAAAAGCACTGTTAAATCTCAATCAAAAAATCCCACAAAAGTGATTAAGGATTATTGTAGTAATTTCACTGATGGGCAGTTGTTAAGGGGAAGAACATCAATAAGATCTAATTAACAATAGTGATAAAACCAGTGGTGGGTTTGGTTATATTAAGAACTATCAGAGAACCGTGAAGAATATTAATTAGTTCTATTCAGTGGAAGTGTGTTTACATATCTCAGTCTTATCAGAACTGTCTTCCTAAATTGTCCCCTTCAATATTTAGGGAGTGTGTGTTTATTCTTCCAGAGGTAAAAAAAAAAAAAAAGGTTAAATGGCTTTTATTTCACACAGATGGAATGAAACTTCTGATGCACCAAGTAATTGTCAGTGATTTAAGTTTCTCTTTTTGGTTTTAAATGAATGTGCAGTGATGATTTTATTGCAGAAGTAGTGGCTTGTGTTGGATTTAAGGCAAGACTTCAGATGGCAGACAGTTTGCAATATCTCAGCCAAGGTCCCAGTTTGAACAGTTAGACTGTAAATATGAAATATTGCTAATAAAATGCAGACATATATAACCTCACTGGCAAATAATTGTCCTCTCACTATTACTCACCAGATCTAATGGGTGTATTAGGAATATTTAGATTACAGTGTAACACATCTGGTTTACAGCCTAAAGAGATGAACACCAACCTAAAAAGCTATCTGCCTTTTTTTTTTTTTCTCTCCACTACCTACAAAAGGAACCTGGAATCAACAAAAGGAATCAGCTCCCCTGTAGAGGCCTGTGTTGTAGAACTCTTATCTTTGGCGATAACCTTGTTCCCTCAAACTGTGTGAAAGTGTGTAAATACACGAGGCTTCACTCACTGCAACCTTGGTCTAATACTGGGCTCCAGAAAATAAACGTCAGCATTTTGGTCTTCCAGCTAAATTTAAATTCCAAAGAACAGGGAGCAGTCTTTGCCCTGGAACCTCATCTGTGCTCTACCAGCTCTGTTCCAAATTCTTTGCTGACTTTTTCTAGCCCACTAAGTTCTGCCATATGCTTCAGTCTCCTTCTTATTAGTCCCCCTGCTAGAATCTTCTGCTGGAGCAGCCAGTTTCCCAGAAACTCCTCTCCTAATAGCTCTTGGTACCATGAGTTTCAGGCAATATAAAATAGTTCTCCCAAAATACCCTTCAAAATCTTCTCTCAAATGTAGGTCTTGCAAGTTATGGAGAATTATGTTTCCTGCCTTGGCATATCTTGTAATTCATTTTTCTTCAAATCTTTCCATCTACACAAGAATAAAAAGGCAGTTTCATTCATTTAAGGCTGCCCTGGGGATTCTTCTTGGATGATAACTTACTTGGAGGAAGTGCCTTATTCCAAGTCTTGCTCTCATTACCAAATCTTGGAAAATCAGTTGCAAAATTATCCCTTTACACTAATTTGCAGCCTGTGCACCAGGGAATAACAGACATGTTTTATATTTCTAAAATATTCAAAGCTCACTCATTCATTTGGAACTTAAAAGATGCAGGAATTGAGTCAAGAAAAGGCAAATAATTCACGGTTCTGAGTCACGTTTTTAGATACCAGCTACATATCTCAGCACTGCTGTCCAGTCAGAACATCTTGAAATGGGCACCCAGCTCCTTCTATTTTAGCAAACAACAGGTTTTGTAGAAAGGGTTTGAGGGCATGATGGGATCTGTAAGAATTCTTTCCTCGTCTCAGTTTATTTGCCCTGAACTCTTGACGTTGTGTCTTGCAGACAACCACCTCTCTGAGGTAACGCATTTTCTATCTGGCTGCTCGTAAAAGTGAAAATCTGCCTCCCTGGTCTCCTTGGCTCAGGAATTACCCTTGTTTTCATGTCTCCAGTGGCACTAACTTACTGTTTGTCACAGGGCAAACACGAGAAAGGCATAAATTTTGCTGTGTAGACTTGTTATGTGGTATCCATGGCAGGGAAGAAAACTCTCAGACCCTTGAACTCTAAAATCTATTTGCTAAGGGATCTGGAGCCCCAATGATCTAGACCTTAAGGAATTACGAGAGTGAAGTTGTCCCTGCTTGGTGGAATTCTGGATCCAGACCACGTGGATGTGTCTGTAGTACTAAATTAGCTGGGCCTGGGTTAATTCCTGGGGATGGAATTCAAACAGCATGGAGTAATTCACAGCCATATTATTAAACCTTCTTGGCCTCAAAAATCAGGGTAGCTGCAGTTTGTGGACTATTGGGAGTGTTCTCTGGCTCGTGCTAGCTCCAGATTCATTACCCAAGAATAGTTTAGGGGTTGGATATTATTTGGCCTGCACCAAAGCTGCAGCAAGGAAAATGTAATGGTGCAAATGATTGAGTTCAGGGCTGAGCCCAGTTTCTAATTCATTTACCAGCATAAATACAACAGATTTGTTACTCTCAGTTAAGACAATGAAGTGAGTGACACTGTGGGTTGCTGTGAAATCACAGAGTTAGTATGTTGTATAGCACAGCAGGGAGAAAAACACGTGGAATTAGTGGAAGTGAAAGTCAAGCCAGTGCTGAGTCACATGTGACACATCCAGGCTCTCTGCTGGTTTGAAGCCATTCAATTTATCTGAGACTTCACCTGAGTCTATTTGCCCTTGATGATCCAAATACTTGGATCAGGTATTTGGTAGCTTCAAATGATGGCTCTGTACTGTGTTTGGTGGTCATGGAATCATAGAATCATTACAGTTGGAAAAGACCTTTAAAAAAAAAGAAAGTTGGAAAAGACCCTTCACCCAAGACTGCCAGGTCCACCACTAAACCATGTTTTTGAACACTTATAGGAATGGTGACACCGCCACTGGAGTCCCCAGTGCTCCCAAGATTCATTCAAGGCCAATGGAATTACCCCTCATTCATCCAGTAGCTTATTTAGACAGCATTTCCATGCAATTTGAGACATATTTGCTATAAGCAGCAGCCACTTCGTGGAATGTGTTTCTGGGCACCACAGCAGATAACAGTTGGAGATTTTTTTTTCTTACATGGAATATTTCCTTAGTCCCTTTCTCAGACATCTCCTGCACCCTCCTTGTAGCAGGTTCTCACATTTCTTGGAAATATTTACACAGGCACTTGCCAAAAGCATAGTGGGAATGTGAATGTTTTAATGGGAGGGGGAAATGGGGCTCAGATCTGTGTCCAACAGCAGGTGCTTTGTAGCAGAAAACTCATTTCCTTTATGATTATTTATATATGATTAATCAATGCAGTGAATAAAGGAACACCTCTCTACAGTGTCCTTCCTATTACAGTGTAAAAGAAGTGAATTTAACTTTATGTATGATTTTCTTATTTGTTATGTTTCTTACAGATGCTGGTTTGGAAAAGAGCCAGGGAAATATATTGACTACATATATCAAGGGCCAGTGATTCTTGTCCTTCTGGTAAGTGTTTGTGTGGGTGGAAGGACACTGCCATCTCCCCTTGAGAGATAATTTGATAGGCATCTGCGAGGTTCCACAGACTTTTATGTAAAATAAGACACAAACAAGGTCAAACATCTTCAGATGCTCTCTGAAGTTGCCACAGTAGCTAAAACTGCAAGTCAGAATTGAAGTGATCTGGCTTTCCTTGATCTCAGGCCATTCTTTCCTCCTCCCTAAGAAAAGCTGTTTACCTTTGTACAATGTTTTGAGATGTAGGAAGGAAAAATGTTCAAAAACAGGAGGTACATCACAATGTCTGCTCATCCACTTGAGGTTCTTGACAACTAGAGCAATTCTGCCATGTGCATTGTTTAGAAAAATATAATAATCATGTCTGGTATTTGCGTCTCCTCATACAGTCATCTCCATCTTCTACATCCCCATCACTGCTGTGTGTTTGTTTTTAGCTCTCCTGTTGTTGAGTTTCCTTTTCAGTTCCGCCCACACTTACCAGGCTGTTTATCTGTTTACTCAACACTCTCTCCTGTGCCAAGCAAGAGTAGGCAGAGGAAGAAGGAAACTCATTCATAAACCACATTGAGCCTTCAGCTGAAGGGCCGTGGTGCTGAGTGTGGATGGAAAATATCAGTGCCATTGGAAAGGACAAGGCTGAAAAAGCCAATTCTGCTCTTGCAGGCAGATGTCACAACAGAGAATTCACAGGGCTTGGTGGCTTCCCCTCTCTTAGGGAACCAAGACTCAGCACAGCTGTCCCTTTTGCCACTCTAATCCCCATGGAGAAGGTGCAAATGCTCCAGAACAGGCAGCACTTCCAGCTTCGTGCTCTCACCTTGTCAGTGCTGTGTTCATGTGATTTCGGCATGAAAAAAGCTTCCCTGTTGCCTAGGAAGCCAGCTACCACTCTGAATGTGTCCTGACATCAGGAGAGGTGATTTCTGTATTGTTCAGATGCTGCAAACAGATCACATAGTGCACACCTGAAAAGAGAGGGGAAAAAAAAAAACAAACATATAGGAGGAGTCTGGTTTTATGTAAAAATTCTTTTCATTATGTTCTAAGGAGGGAAATAACAATTGGTGTGATATACACAAATATGTCACTAAGGGAGTCACCCCAAAAACACAAACAGCTTCATGGTGAATTGATTCACTGATACCAAGACTAACTCACAAATAAATCCTATTTGGACAACACGAGGTGGGAGGTTTGTGATACTCAGAGCATTTGGGTTTCACATCATTGCCTAGAAGTCTGTGAATCTCTGAACCCACCATAATCCCTTTAGTCCACAAGATCTGTAAAATCCTTGGGCAGCATCTCTAGCAGATACCATAGGGAGCTTCATCGTGAAAACACCTTTCTTCTCCCCAGAACAGCACTTTAAAGAGCCCAAGGAGACCCAGGAAATGGAAGTACAGTTGGGGGCTGTCTCTATGTACAGAT